GCAGCGGGCGTAATACCACGCGCAATGAAATCCATTTTTTCGCATAGGGGATAATGGAATCGTTGCTGCAAATCGACTGTGAAATTTTCACGAGCTCGTTCGTTCCATAGATGTTCTAGCGGTCGAACAATTGACGTGTGGGGGTGGTGCGGAAAAATATCTGGTGTCCTACTAGAAATCGATAAAAAAGTTTGGATATTTCTCTCTATGAAGACAGAAATTTCACACAATTCGGTGACTCGTAAAATTCCTTTCATTATGTTTAAAAAGTATTGAGAAATATATATCATCATTTAAATTTTAAATTCAGTTCTTAATAGAAGAAAAGGAGGAATTAGTTGAAACAGAATACTCTGAATAAAACTTATTAAAACACGAATAAAAGGCTACTAAAAATTCTTTCTTTCTTTTTTTTTCGCTTTTAATTTATTTTCGCGAGACATAAAGAGAAATTATAAATATCCTTATTTAAATTTCAAATTTACTTTACAGTGAAATAAAATTGCCTTAAATAAAATTCTTACAATGAAAATAAGACAGGAATAAAAGACTACTGTCTGTCGCTTTCTCCATCTTTCTTTTCTTTTCTAATTTTTTTGTTCTCTATTTTCACGAGAGATGAAGTATCTTTATTTACATTTGAAATTTACTCTGCACTAAAGCACAATTGCTTCAAATAGAATCCTTCTATTGTTAGTCACAATTATTAATTCACGAATAGAAGTTTATTGTCTCCCTCCGTTTGCGAGAATAAAAAGCTCTTGTCGAAGACCTTTGTTCACCGAGGAAAATTAATTTCAGTTAAACATATTCGAGACCGTACATTTCGATGATGTATTATTTCTTTGTTACTTTATATGCACTTAGTCATTTCCATTTGGCAATGCGAAACACAATTAACGACAGAATCTTCTGATTTTGGAAATGCATGTAGTAAACGAATTTCATATCAGCAGCGCGGAATAACTTCATTAACTTTCTCAAACGAAAAAGCATTAGACGATGTTGATTAACACTTACAACGGAGCTACGAAAACTGGGTCACTAGTGCGGAAACAGAATTCTAGGCTTTCTTGGTCCGCATTTTTCCATCCGCGTGTTGTTGGAATCCAATAATTCTTAATTGGACTAAAAGCAATAACGTGTTACGAGATATCATCAGGCTTAACGAGTTCTTCTCATTGTACGAATCAACCTTATATTGCTTCTATTTTTCTAGGAAATGGATGGGACAATTTTTGTTGAGTAGATATAACTATCTATTATAGGTAGTTATTAAACTTTGACGATATTTTGTGGAGTTTAAATTTATTTTTAAAAATACAGTTACTTAATTTATAAAAACTATGAAACATCTGAAACTATTGGTTTCATCAGTTTCACTCGTTTTATGAAACGAATATATTAATAAAATTCGGTTAATATGTATCTGCTACTGAAAAATTTGTTTGGTCGTTATATTTTAGTCAACGTGTTAGTCGTTATTTTTGGTATTAATTTATTTTTTCGTAGTATTTCATTTTTTAATAATATTTTTATCGTATTATTGCACAAATTCAAATCAAAATCTGAAGCAGTACGTATTTCAGCAAACACATGATATTAATATTTCTGTAATCAAAGTTTTGTTTGTTTATGAAAGAAAAATTATGAATAATTTTTTAAAGATTTTAATTTCAAAGATCTAGCAATTTCTGTAAAATGCTGTCAAATTAATAACTATGACTTTTTGCATATTGTATGAAAGCTGTTAACGAGACAATTTCAGCAATCTGCAACTCATACACAGTATTTAATAGCGTATTTAAATGGAATATTTTAGTAATACCACATAAAATTTCCATTTTTGATATATGAAAGAAAACCAATTTGTCTATCAAGAAATCTTCCAAAACTTGTCATCAAAAATTTCGTAATTCTTCTCCTAGAATTCCCCAGCTACAACGATCCTTCATAGTCGCGCTAAAATAAAAATAATTTCCAGCGAACCATTCCGTATATTTTGTCGTTGCTAGTTCTGTAGAGGGCCAGAATTCATAACTTGAAACTTCCGGTGGAGCAATAATTCTGCGAGCTTAAGAGTCGGAGTCACTGTGAGTTTCGAGTCCCAGTAGTAGAGACGTAACTCAGGCCTGCCAGCATCAGTGGAGTAAGGCCGTGCTATATCAGACGCGCCTGATTCCAACGCATTTTCAACACGTTCTCAATGCGTTTCCACGAAAACAGCGGGATCGTGGACGATTTAATGACACTCGATTTCTGCCTGTCGACTTGTCGAACACGGCTTCAGAATTGTTTTTCGGCGATTTAACGCGATTCGAAGTTTCATCGAGCGTGTGATTTTGACGTAAATTATCGTGTGCTGACGATTCGACAGACATATTTTAATAAAACGCCGCCAGGATAAGCTGTAAAATTCAACTAGAAATATATATAGAGCAGCTAATTAAATTTTTATCTGGTCAGCTTTTATTTTTTTCGTATTTTTATTCGATGTCAATATTTTGGAGAGAAGATTTAATCGCCTTTGGACTGATCAGGTGTATAGACTGAATTTTTTAAATTGAATAAAACAGAGGCGAGCCTTCCGGTTCGTTTATTGAATGGATCCATTGAATTGACACAGTTCGTGGAAATTTTTAGATATTTCTTTCATCCTGTCCTTTCTTTTTTGTTTTCATTATTTTGTTATCTCATTGGCTTTGTTCTGCGTGTGATTAATAACGTTCTATTGATGGATTAAGTGTGATACGCTGTTGTTTCGAATTGTGGATGGTGGCATTGATTTTATGGTTTTCCATTGAAATTAAATATCACTTTTAAATGTCAATTTTAAATGACAAATATGTGGTGTTCCAATCCTAATGCAATATACATGTTTCATGTAAATATTTAGCAGAGTGACAGAAATGATAAATCTGGGGGAGAAGGTCCTATTGGTGTGTTACTTTTCTCTTCTGAAGGAAGACAAACATGGGAAACATTGTTTTTATAAATTTCACATAAATTACAATCTAAACATAGCTTCAGAATTCGTTGACACTGTATAAACACGGAATTTAACGGCATCATCACATGAAATTAATTAACAACTCGTGAACGAAGTATTGTACAAGCTTCGTCACGTATTTGCAGAACCAGCATCGAATCCCGGTCATCACGTATTCTCCATTGATCCGTCCTTCTAGCATCGTCGTTAATGCATCACAACGAATAATCCGAACTAGAAGCTGCAACCAGTAATCAAGATAATTAGCGTCCAAGCTAGGCCGTAGAAAAGATCGCGAAACACGTGTACAGTTGCTCGCGAAAGTATTCCAACACGTATGGACACCTTGTATGAGTATATTATGTGCATTGCACGAGAAATTCTGAAATTTCATTAGCACTGTAACAAGACTTGTATATCATTATATTGATCAAATTTGAAACGAATCTGGAAATGTACATGGAAGCTGCAAAATATTTAACGCGAATATGTATTTCGTGGAAATTGTAAAGTCATTTAAATGGTCAATTATCTACTGTATTGATAAACTTAGATATACAGTGGGACCATTTTTAGTTCTTATTATACACAGAAGATAGCTTTTCATGTTGTGTGCTAATCTTTCTTACTAAATATATGATATGTTTGCGGTAAATATTTTGTAGCTTCTATATTCATTCCAGATTAGTTTCAAATTTGACCAATATAACAATTCCAATGGAATTTCAAAACGTTCTATGTAACACATACAACATATATGTAGATATATGTATAAATTGTCCATGGTAATACTTCTATAAGCCACTGTACTCACGTGAACTTAATCTCGTGTCCGTTCATTGCTCCAATATTTTGCTGGCTCGTTACTCGCATGTAATCAACCGAGTAATTCGTTCGTTGCTATCTGCTTGTGCTTTACAGCGAAAATCGACACGTGCAGTTGTTTCATCAATGTTTTGTTGTCGTAATTTGTTGATTTTCCTAATGGATTGAATGTTGTGTTATCGTTATATCAAGGTATACGACTGATCGTTGTGTTGCTTTGAACAGGTGACAACGAATAGTTTATATTTTCGTTATTTGATGTTTATGTTCTGTTAGTAATGAAAAATTCTACAATCAAGATTAGTTTAGATTTTATCTACAAACATACTTTTATTTATAAATACTCTTGTACGAGGAAAAAGTTTAGGTACAAGGAGAAGATAAAGGTAGTAGAAATTAGATGGATAATATTGACTTTACCTTGAAACTTCTACGAGGTTACGTTCATATATACCATAAAATAAAAGGAAATTTACAGTTATCTGTTAGAGAGATTGACAACACGTAAAATTGAGAAATAATTGTAATTATTTCTTACGTCATATTAGATTGTAGATTTATGCATAATTTTCATTAATAATGTTATTTGCCCACTATTTGATTTCATATTAGAGACGAAATTGTCGTCAATGCTTAGAAAGTGATTTTTCTTATTTATTTCTCTGATCGAGTACTTGAATGAAACATATCGCTTCTATATAATAAATTCAAAATCAAAACAATTGATGTTCACTGGATTTATTTTATTTTTAATCAACTTTCAACCTACTGATGATGTTTAGTGATAAGATTGGTTGACTGATTAGCTACCTATGTAATCGCGCATTTTTTGATAAAATAACGATGGAAAGTTTTTCGTATCAGTGAATCCAGACGAAATTAACAAGTCGTAACTCTTTAGCGAAGTGCTCGATTTAGGTTAAAATATAGTCGATATTTACACGCCAATGAGAGAGGGAAGTTAACTAGAGCGTCAAACACGAGAGAACCATCCACAACTTCTACTCGTAATCTGTTACGCGAAATGAAATTTTTGTATCGCGTGATCGCTCTACGCTCGTTATCAGGACAGTTCGAATATTGATTTCATCCGTTCCGTCTCGCGATTAATCAAACCGAAAACTGTCAACCGAAAATCGAGCCTATATTTTTTCTTTTCCTTACAATTTTAATTTCGACGTTAACGTCATCGAAAAAACAATGGTTTTATTGCTTTATCAAATTACACAAAAAGTGTGACAGATACAAATTTGATTGTACATAGTTTAATACTATCATGAACATTCGCATCTTTTGTGTATGTGTGTGTGCGTGCACCTCGATTATGTCACTTGAAAATTTACTTGGTACAGAGAGCTATAAGAAACACATATGTAGCAGCATTATTAAGTATACCGATTCACATCTAGAAAGACTATTTCGCATGAATGATCACGTCCTCGTCCATTATTTCCGCTGGAATATTCACGTTTACCGAGATTATTCCTTTATTCCAGAATTTGCAAGAATTTTGTTCGGAATTCATATATAAAAATCTTTGACTCATGTTCAGTTTCAAATAATCTCAACCTAAAATTTGAAAAATTCATAAAAATTATTTGTTATTAGTTCTCAGTATAGAGTTAGCAACGTTTATTATTAAACAGTTCAAAATGTAAATAACAACATTCTGAACCCCTACTTCCGTACGATCATTTACTATTTTGCAGCTCGATTTTCATGCGAATGTAACGATGCGATATCTAACGTTCACTGGTGAACGCGAAGCGACTATTAAATTCTGTAACAGTTTCATTGCGATCGATTTACGGTGGCGAATAATTGATCGTGTGTTGCACTTTCACGTGCTAATGCAACATCACGTATACGACCTGCTTGCATCACATCGAATTCCTATGATTGCTTCCTGTTCTGTTTATCAATGACAAATATCGATATTTTGTAACCTCGTTCTCTTTAATTGGATGAAACCCTTAGTTTTAATTGTCGAATAGAAATTTTCACATTATTTTTCAATCTTCTAATTCTTCGTTCTCTGTCAACGCCATTACGGTGATATCTGTAGTGTACAAAATTTTATTTGGTTTTATTCTCACCGAATGGCGAGATTGAAGACTAATATAAAAAATAAATTCATAGATGATCCATTTGTTTTCCAATCGAAGCTTTTGGCCTCTTCGTTATAAAACTGTGTTTGAATTGCTGGATGATCGTATCGAAAAATTCTTCAAATAGAAAAGGATTAAAATGATGGTTATATAAAAACCACATTTTGTTCTTATAATCGATGAGTTTGAAGTCTTTCAAAGAAAATGTAAGGTAAAAGTAAAATGAATTAAGTACAGCATTGCTGCTTTGGAACGAAAATGAAGGGGATTCGTTAAGCTTCTAACAACGTTTATTAAGATTCTTTTTGAATATAACAGCGTCAAAAATTCACTGGAGTAGTCAATTTTTATTCCGTGCATCATTATACTAAACTTAGTTAGGTATTAAATCAAGCTTTCCAAAAGTTTTTATCGCTCGCCTGGAACTGCATCGTCATTAACGAGCCACTTAATCCGCGCTTCGAGCTAAGTTTGTTAACGTTTAATTGAAGTTTATGGAAATTTTAAAGGTATACTGAAACTTTCGTTTTGTAAAGGATTTATGTACTTTGCTTTTTTTATTCCGTTAATTTCTGTTGTAATAAGTTCCAACTAATATACGTAACACAATATAACAATTACAGGTTTTTTCTTGAAGGTGTTTCTTTGTGGAATTCAGTTACAGTTTCCTTTGAAGTTTCTCAGTTTTTACACATCTCAAGTTTTGTAAGAGACATTCATTAATTTTAACACACGAAATGTTTCCTCTACTATCCAGAATTACAGGGGAAATGCTTTTCAAAGAAAGCATGCTACAGTGAAAATATTTTATCCCTGGGAACAGATGAATACAATTCTTCTTCTTCTTCTTCTTCTTCTTCCTTTTTAATCTTTTTCTGGAAGTAATTGGCGTTACGCATTGCACATACATATTTGATGTGTAAATTATTACTTGTGTTAAACTTTATAACTGTGTAGCGGAAATAACGAAGTTGATGTCATCGTTGCTAGACGTCATCGTTGAAACAAGAAATACAATTATATACGCAGAGAATATGAGAGTGGAAAATCGATTAAACATTTTAAATGATATGATATGAAACTAATTAGTGAAAATTTCCAAGAACTTGTGAATAGAAATTCAAGGAACGACTCGATTCTTAAAGTATTAATTTCCTCGATTTAAAGGAAATTAATTAATTAGATAAAAATATGAATGAACATATAGATTGTTTGTTGATTCAAAACAGAAATAAATTCATGTTAATGCAGTTCGTATTAAAGATAATTAACACAGTTGTTTCAACTAGTTCCAAAAATCGTATGAATTTAATTAACACAGTTTCAAACCGACGAACGAGATGTTTTAAATGCTATTTTGCACGAAATTAACCAACGCGTTAATTGATGGATACAAATAGTAACATTTCGAAAAAAAAGATTTTAAATATTTGAATTAATTGTGTCTTCAAAAAAGTCTCAAGACTCGTATCGTTAAACATTCTAAATTAAAATTATCATAAAATTTTGGCAAATAACACGTTTAAACAGATTATATAACAAATACCATGAAGTAAAATATATTGTACAAAATATATCATGTTCGAACTAGCCGAGCATAGATCCGCGTTTATACAACGAGGATTACTAAAAATATTTCCCGTGAACTATGACGTATTCGATTCTGAAAAGGTTAAAAAAATAAAAAACAAAATTTAGAAAACGTTAACAAACAAACCAAACATATACATATTTTCAACCATTATTTCTACAAACCATCGCTTCTGTAAACGATCTAAAATCTTCCACGACTCAGGTATCTTGAACAAACGAGCCTGTTAACGTTCATCGAACGACACTGGAAGCAATTGGTTCTCGCCGTTGGAACCTTGACACGCAGCAATAAATGTCTCTTCGCCCCTCTCTTGTCTGCGTGAAACATTAGAGAACGAACGCGAAGCACGGAAACGGCTCGTCGCAGACGATTCATCGAAGCGGCTCGTTTCGTCGAGTTCCGGCGATCGCGGCCGATCGTGCATGGGTCTCTCCTGAACGATCCGTTAGCCTCCGTTCGCCAAATAGGCGGCCAGTTTCGCGCGTGACACGCACCGGTATCGACGACGGGTCGCGGTGCTGCGCCATGCGGCCACGCCACTTCCGGTCCGTTCGATCCTACTCGACCGCGCCGCGGAAATCATGAGTGATGCCTAGCTCTTGTGCTCTTGTGCCTTCCTCGTGATCGTGCAGCGTGCGCCGATGATGGGATATATTATGGGCTGCACGTGCTTCAAAGCTGCCATCCTGTCGCATCTGTTTCAAGGTTGGTGCTTCAGTGATTATTCCATATTCCGACGATGGCGGTTATCCGGCTTTTTAACGGACACTGTGAAATTATGGGACGTGTATCGTGTGATTACGCGAAGCGAAAGATTCGTCCATAGGCAGTGAATTTTCGTTCATTGACGATAAAAATCGTGACAAATTTTTCGAACATTTATGCCACTGTTTGAAAATTCGAGGTCGTTAAATTAGATCGTGGAAAGATGATTGTGTAGCGTGCTTTGCGAGTATGATTAATAGTCTCGAAATTATAGAATGATTTTTTAATACTTCAGAGGTGAGCATAGTGTTTCGTATTTCATGAGTAAACTGGGTCATTCGTAGTCAAGCCTTAGTTCCTTTTTCTATTTTAGGCTCTGAAAAATATGAAAAAAGTTCTAGAATGCTCATTAACGTTTCTGGTAAATGGATAAAAGAAAGCTTGAAATTGGTGTTAGTTATGAGGAATTTTTGTATGTATTACATTCTTTTGCTATATTTTATCAATTTATTGTCCATTTATTATCCACCACGATATGTATGTCGCATAGTCATTTGTCCATTAAAATGTTCGAGAGTCCAATAAAATTAAAGATTGGATGGAAAGAAATTAAAATGCGAGATTCTATTAAAGTTGGTAGTGACCCAGTTTGTTTATGAAGAGTTAATTTTTCATTAAATTAATTCTATTAAGTCCATAGTAGATAATGAATAAATTACATGGTACCTGACAGGTATCGAATGACTTTCACGACCTTGAACTTTGAAATATATAACGCAATACAAAATTATAAAATAAATTATGAAGCAACGTAGCTCCGTGTAAGGAGGTTTTGAAGAAGCATCGATTTAAGGAGAATTAAACTCGATGTCTGATGCGCAAATGAAGGACGCTTACGAACGCGTTCTTAAACGGACCTTGAATATCTCAAATGTTTTGTTTTTACGAAATATAAGCAGTGTTTAGTAACTGAGTGTGAAAGAGCAGGGAAGTGAGGAACCGAGGTCCGACTCAATGTTGAACCTGTTGATTTGAAAACAAAATGTAGATTCAATGCTGTGTTTAGAGGAAGGATAATGCAGAAAATGTATATACATCAATCTATTGCACTGAGACAACGATGTTACACGATTCCAAGCGCAGTAAGGAAATTAAGAAATTGAAACTAGTATGTGTTGAATTCCGTCAATAAGATATAAAAGTTTTATAAGTTAGTTATTTAAAATATAAAAGTATCGCATTTCAAAGTTTATTAACGATAGACAAGAATTAAACATTTTTCCAGTTTTTAACATATAATTCTAAAAATAAACTTTGAAATGCGATATGTACTTTGAAATACTAGTATTTAGTAATTAATTTGATGTCGATCATTTGGAATACGATAACTATTTAAAGTATTATAGCTTACTAATCGTCAATTAGTTTTGAGACCACATGAAATGTCCGCGCAAGTAATGTTTCACGATGGATGAAATTAATATGATAATCACATTAGTATCTTAAGTAGAACCGGAAACAAATCGTTTTGGAATTCAAGTAGCATAACGTAAGCTATACTGTTAAGTATGTATATATACTTCTAAAGAAGCGTGTAATACATTCCTCGTCTAAAAAAATAACATATCCTAAATTTACCTAAGTTTTTTCAGACATAATATACCACTTTTTATTCCTTTATTTTCTCTATCCGATTGTTAATAATTTTAAGTCCCAATTTGTATAGTAGCATCGTCAATCAGATAATCAATTTCCATACAATCGATATTCCTGGTAATGAATACATATTTGGATAATCCATGTCTGGTTAATTTGCATCGTATTACAATTATGTGATTATAAGAAACTCGATCTCGCTAATTTTCTGCTATTTACTTGCGTTGGATGATAATTCTTATTGTTCATTGTTGCTTGATAATTTATTATTACATTTTCCATTGAATACATTGTCGACTAAATTATTTTGAAATGTACGAATAACAAGTTGTATATTTACAATTTAATTGAAATTTAAAAATTCGTTTGCAGAGCTATCTACTTGTTCTATTGTTAAACTTGTTGTTATGTAAATAAGCTTATTAGCATTAGAAATTTGAAACTTGTAATTTGTGAAATATCGTGAATAATATTAACTCGATTGTGCAAGAAGCAAGAATTCAGAAAATATGTTTGTGATATTTGATGAAAGTTATGTAATAATATTTGCGAAACGAAACTACCTTGTCTATCTCTGTAAACTATCTCTATAAATTGACCATAAATCGCCTGGAATTTGTTATAGAGTGAAAGCTGGAGAAAAATATTCGTTCGATAAAAAAAACTCACGTACTTCAATCTTTTTTTTTTTGACATCATAAAAATGGAGCAATAGAAATGTATGATTGCAGTAGTTCGCAAATATAAACTCTCTACCCGACGTGCAAAAATTGTAGATAAACTCCCCATGATCGTTACCTCTGCAACTTTCAGGAACTTAGATAAACTTCTTCGTAATCGTTATTTCTTTCTCGCTTCTAACTTCTATAACTTCAGATAAACTATGTTAGCAACTCTGCAATTTCCATCGTGTTAGGCGAATTCGCAATCATGTAAAAATTGTCATAAATGAATAATGACCGTACTTTCGTTTACGTCACTGAACGGAACATTAG